CAATTTCATTTATTATTATATAAGTAATACCACAAAAGACATAACTGAGCTTTTAAAAAATATTTCTTTAGGGTTATCTCCCTATAACAAATTATGAAAAATAGAACACAATTAAAAAATGAAACATAATTATAAGATGTTACTTATTAATTAAATAATAAGTGGATTTAGTCTTACATCTTCCTAACTCTGTATAAGAACCATAAAAGACAGGGAACAAATGTAAAAAATAATGACCCATGCAAGTAACCCATTTTGTCAAATAATCAAAATCAAAACCCTTATTAAATTAACATGAGCACTGTATATGCTACAAGCACAAGTGTTAAAGATAAACTCGTCTTCATCGCTCAGTAAGACTAGAAATAAAATGATTCCCCTCTACATCAAAGACCAGTCAGGTAGAATACTCAAAGAGCAGAAGCTTCCTCTAGCATTGCTATTTATTTTAGTAATGCTCTGTCTTTAATTTTGATCTTTGGTATACAACCTGAAGAGAAAAAAGAAAAATGTTTAGCATGTGTCTTGTCGAGACCCTATAATCATTCATTTATTCAGTACCTAGTTACTGGCATTAGTGGCCCTGGACAAAACATGAACCCTTGTTACTCAGTAATACTGCAAGACGACATCTTTAAGAGGAGATTTATAACAGCAAGCATGAGCCCTAAGGTAACCTACGGACTTTGGGCAATAATGATGTGTCAATATACGTTCATCAATTTCAACAAACGTACCCCTCTGGTGAGAGATGTCGATAGCAGGGAAGGAAGGCTGGGAGGCCGGACAGGGTTGGGTAGGGAATATACAAGAACACTCTGTACTTTCCACTCAGTTTTGGTGTGAACCTAAAACTGCTTTAAAAAAATGTATTTTTTTTTAAATGAAGAGATGTACACACGTCTTAGCATATTAAAAGAAAATCTAGATTATTTGAGATCACTCAAATAAAATGGTATTTTAGATATGCAATCACCATGCAAACAGGCTGGACTGGGGCAGTCCCCAGAAAGGCAGAGGTAAAGCATGTATTAAAGATTGTTACATTCTGGTATGACCTCAGCAAGTGTGAGCTCCTGTTCTTAGAGTTACTGTTACTGCTACAACTTTCCATTGTCTTCCCCAGGCAAACGCATTTCAGGACTTAAGACTCTATCCTTGATCCCAAGATAAACTTTAATAAACACACAGTTGGACCAAAGAAGACCATTCAGACTGAAAATTACTTCATGGGGCTGATTCCACCACTAGAAGACAAGAAGCGTGGTCCTGCTGAAGCCAAATCAGCAGCATCGGTGCAGAGTCCAGGGCCGAGATGTCTAAGCGCACCCCTGTGGGGAGGCCTTCTCTTACACCTGCCATGGGCAAGGTAGTTTTCCACGCTAAAAACCCTACAGTAAAAATATCTACA